TTGCTCAAACGTTGTGAAGAATCAGTCATGTGTTTGGGATACACCAATAATTTACACATATTGACATTTGAACGCAATATTTATACTATAACAGATAATAATCTTGTATTATCCTGCCAATTGGAAGAATGTCCTGATTTGTTGCAACAATTTTACAATTATAACTTACTGGAAACAATTGACTGGCGTGTTGTGTTCCAGTGGATGTTTATCCTTCGCAGACGAGTACCACGTGGGCCGTTACAGGAGATAATAACTGTAAAAACTTACGGTGATATCGTATTTGTTGGTTGCAACTGGGGTGTGCTCCGTATTTATTATAAACCATATGTAGATGGAGAATTTGACTTTTACAATTCGGAACCTGTTAAGCAATATAATTTTATGGAGCGTTCGGACTGCCCAGTGTTGACAATGTGTCCAATAATAAAGGTGGATGTGTTGGAGTCGGAGAATGGTCACACCGTAATAGTTGGTATGCCAAAGAAAATTGCCGTTCTTGATTTTGTTCATTGTTTTAAGAGAACCGCCTCAGTTGCTATGCTACCTTACAGTGATGTACAAGAAGTGAAACTATTAAAAGTAGCAAAGAATACATAATTTAAAATTTTTTGCTGAATTCATTTTTACCACAGATTTTTGAAGGAATAGCTTCTTGTACACCAACACAATGATCGAAAAATTATCTATCAGAAAGCTTATTGCATGCCATCAAATGATATTTATTACAAAAGACTCAAACAATAACCTGTTGACCTTTTGGCTAAAATAAGTATTGCTTAATTTTTGAAACTATTGATAAGTTAGTCGGTACATACAGCCTTGGCCAAAAGTATTAGGCACCCCTTAAATTTGCAAAATACAAATTTACTAATTTAACCATTCATTAATGCTTATCTTAGATGGTATGCTGGGGTTGTATTTCTTTACCTGGCATAGTAGGCGGCATATTTTTAAGGTCATAAAACACCTGGTGATCGAAAACAAAGGACTTGTGCTTCTTGCGGTCTTATCACTAAATATTTTGTCACTTGTGATCGGGACTCTAAAGCGTCAACAAGTTTTTATTATTGGTTTAAAAATTAAATTGAGGTCTGATTGGTTTTTAAATGCCGAAGAACAGTGAAATTAGTTTGGAAAATCGAGTGAAAATACAAATTTTACATGAACAAGGAAAGTCGCAAAAAGAAATTGCCAAGTTAGTGAAATGTTCACGTTGCGCCGTGCAATCTGCTATTAAACGGTTTGCTCAGACTGGCACTCACGCTAATAAACAAAGAACAGGCAGAAAAAAGGGTAACAACAAAACGCGAGGATAGAAAATTAATACGCGAATCGATGAAAGATCGGAAGAAAACTTCATCAGAGCTTGCTGCTGCCTTGTCCGAAGAGACTGGAAAAGCAATTAGTGCTCGCATAGCAAGGAGAAGACTTGGGGAAGCTGGTCTAAAAGGATGCAAAGCCAGGAAGAAGCCTTGGCTCTCAGAAGCCAACAAAAGGAAACGTTTAGAGTGGGCTCTACGGCACCAACATTTTACGGAGGAAGATTGGTCTAATGTTGTGTGGTCTGACGAATCTAATTTTGAGGTAAGTTTATTTTACTGGGTTCTTTACCAATAAGTATGATCACTTATTTATTTTACTTAAATGGAAAAAGTTATGGCCTTTCAAAAAAAAATAACTTTTTCGTTTCTTCTCTAGGTGTTTGGAACACCAGGTGTGACATTCGTCAGACGTCGTGTGGGTGAAGAATACCATCCAGATTGCGTCGTACCAACTGTCAAGCACGGAGGAGGCAGCATAATGATCTGGGAGTGTGTGGCTGCCGATGGGGTTGGCGAAATGTTTGTCTGCGAAGGCCGTATGAACAGCGAAAAGTACGTAGAAGTACTTGAATCTGCGCTTATGCCTTCGCTAACAAGCATTTTTGGCGGCACTAACTTAGATGGAGTCATATTCCAACAAGACAATGCGCCTTGTCATAAGTCAGCGACTACGATGCGTTGGTTTAGGGACAACAACATTGAGTTGTTGGATTGGCCGGCCCAGTCCCCAGATCTGAATCCTATCGAGCATCTCTGGGGCATTTTAAAGCGTAGGATTAAAGAGCATATTGGCATTACTTCTAAAACGGCCCTAAAAAATGCTTTGATAAATGAATGGCAAGCTATTACGAGAGAGGATTGCTCTAAGCTTGTGCGCAGCATGCCAGACCGAATAAGCGCTGTGATTAAATCTAAGGGTGGACCTACTAGATTTTAAGTTATTTGTATTTGTTTTTATGTGTTTTAATTATAATAAATAAATCAAGAAACAGGAAGTTGTTTTTTTCCATTTTTTAAAGTAAGTTTTAGGGTGCCTAATACTTTTGGCCAAGGCTGTACTATTAAATATTATGACTCCTCCATTTAAAATATTCCTAATTAATTTAAATAATTCCTATTTATATATAATATATATAAAATTACAATTTTATAGATGACAATTCACAGAACAAGATTACTATTGTAGTTTAATAATATTTTAATATAATTAAAATATCAATTTCTTAAGATGAGTGTCCATTAACTTCGCGCACCAACTGTGCTCCGCGCATCTGCAACTGTTTCATTAGTGGATACGTTCGCAGGCAACGCTGCTTACAACGTCGTACGCTCCGCGCGCTGACGGTTTTTACGCGAACACAAAGCGTAGCGCTGTATGTTCGTGGACGCGCAAAGCAACATTCGTGTTCGTACAACATTCAAATGAAAACTGTGGAGCAATTGCAGCTGCGCGAATCGGAGTAGATGCACGAATCGATGGCACTTAGTTTTTTGTAGTGACGTAATGTCTCCATTTGAGTGGTTACAGATGCGCGGAGCAGAGTTGGTACGCATACCTAATGGATACTTACCCACCTTTAGGTTTTCGCTATTGTTACAAATTGGAAATGTAACTATTTTTCTCTGGATTGAGTCAACCATGACCAAGGGACTTGTAAAGAACCCGAACTGTTGGTTTAGATCCGAAAAAATATAGTTTCATTTCCTATAACTAAAATAATTAAATATTTCATTTATAATTAATAAATATAAGAATAATTTTCTTATACACAGGTAATAATAGTACAAATACTAGTAATAGAATTTCCATCACGACTAATCTTCATTTTCCATTTATTAGGGATCTTTAGATAATCCAATTTGTAGCTTTTGCTTTATTAATGAGTGTTAGTTATTTATAGAAGTGTAACTAATTATAAATTGCTTAGTGTTGTATTTGTCAGGTGGCTTCCCGCCAACAGGAAGTGGGCAGTAGAGTGAAGGCCGTTGTCCAACAAAACAAAGAAAGAATATATTAATTAGGTGTTCCTAATTCTGTACGTAAGAGGTAAAGAACACTAAGTGGCAGCGTTTTAAAGAGAATGAGGCTCTTAATTAGGCATTTAAAATTAAAATTTTAACCTTTTTTTTTTTAATAGAACTCAAAATTTTGCTTATGGGCTTTTTTATTGGAATTAAACCTATTTGTCAATTTTTATTCGAATCAGTTAAAGGAAAGCGCGAACCGGATTCATCCCCTAGTTTGCTACCCTTAGAGCTGGAATATTTTCTTCAAATTTAAATGGGGCCAATACTGAGGCGTCGAATAAAACTGAGAAAAGCTAAAGTCACATGTTATACCTACTCATTTCAGTGAATTCAGAACTTTAAAACGCTCCCCTGTAAACGTGGAAATTTCGACATACAATACTTTGCGTAGGAGGGGTCGAAATATGTTAAATAAAAAACGTACGACGATTGGACTTAATGTCTTTTACCAGGACGTGATTTTTAGCATTCTACTCGTATACATATTTGTAAAAACATCTAAATTCCAAAATATGGTCCTTTACCTCTCACCAACAGAATTTTGCGATGCACTACCGTTCTTCCCTTTTTGTCATACCTAATGTTGGGTAATTTTCCGGATAATTTAAAAATAGTGGACATTTTTCCGGAAAAAATATAATTTCGAAGGTTCATATAATGCTCTACGTTTAGAAAATACAAGTTTTATTTAACGTGAATTATAAAATAAACTTCTATAGCTAAAAGCAACTTAGAGAAACGAAATTTAAAATGATTTCACCACAGCAAAAAAAACCTTTTTAACCATTGACTT